GTTAATAAAGTTAGTATTACTGTTGTGGATTAAAAAGCTAATTTGTAAGGCTGGATTAAAAAAATAAACAAAAAGTCAGTCTGTTGTTATCAGACTTGCTCAGCATGAAATGTAATTTTATTTAGTTTTAAATTTAGTTTGTAGTTGAACACTAAAACTCAAACAGGATACTTAAAGCAGAACTATGACGGATGATTAGTTTAGGCTTTTCAAAGTTTTAATAGATTTTACCTTACTGTATCTACAGTAGATGCTTTAATTTTTTAAAATCAATTACTAACTAAGCCTTTACATTTTTATTGTAATAATTTGTCTATAATACAAGGCATTGTTATTAGAGTTTTAGCTGATAAGTTTTAAAATGCTCAGTTAATAACAACATCTGAAACAGATTTACAACTAAACGGCACGCCTGCTTTGACTAATGAGTTTGTCCAGATTCCTGCATGGGAGAGGTTCAGTCACGTCACATTTGTCTCTCATGTTTTTGTTGTCGTGTGTTTTGTTTTTTTGAGCAGGAGTTGCAGCAGAAGGAGCAACAGTGGAAGAGGAGGTGTGAGGAGCTGCAGGTCCAGGTGCAGCAGCTCCACGAGGACAGAGAGGAGCTGCAGAACAGACTGAAAGGCAACTATGCACAGGAAGGTATCTTACTCACGAGCTCACAAAAACACTCTGGATTCAACAGAGGTCATAGTTTCTGTCATGTAGAAGCTTCTCATCTAATGAGTAAAGATTCAAAACAGCAGCTAAAAGTCAGACTGACTGCTGAAGCGTACTGCAGTCCAGCTGGTTAATGCAGTGTTTACGGTACAGATATTTTGCTTACCGGTAGTTATTTTACAGTTATGAGAAGATGTAAAGCAGGAACAAGCAACGTTTTTTTTTTTTTCAGAAATGCCATTTTGTACCGTGCCCGACAGGTGCAAACAATGCAGCAAATGTGAACAATGCAAAACATACAAACACAAAACAAAAACAAATGCAACAGAAAAATGCAGCAAAAGAAACATTCAGCAATCACAGAAAATAGTCGCAAAACAAACAGCAAAACAAAAGCAAAGGAAAAAACTTACAGTGAACCTAAGTGTAGTTTTATGGAGATTCATGACATGCCTGGTTTTGTTGTTTTCTTCATAATTAAATGTAAAACTGATCAGATTCAGTCCACAATGCAGTGTTCAACCTGACAAATTCAACAGTAATGTGATCTTCCTGGCGGAGTCCCAGCTGACTCTTGTTTTCTTGTTCTGGACTTTTTAAAGATGACTTTTAAAGAGGCAGGCGAAAGTGGAAAACACTCTGAAAGTCAAAGTGAATGTGTCACGCTTCAGTTTTTTTATAAGTGTTCATTTTACAAACAAGAATTTACAGCATGTTTAGGGGACTTCAGTGTTTGGGTTTCTAAACTAGTCTTTTTTCTGTTGTAAAGGTTTAAATGGTCAGCTTATTCAAAATGTGATACATTTGTATAATAAAAAAAACAAATCTTAACTGTAAATGTTTCTCCAAGATAATGTTTTACTCTAGATTATCCACAGCTCTCATTGGGCCTCATGCAAGAACCGTACGTACGCACAGATTTGTTCTTAAGTTGTGCGTACGAGTGATTTAGGAGAATTTGCGACATTCACCAGTGTTTTCATATTCTAAGATTTTTTTCAGATACGAACAAAATTAACGAGTGGTCCAGACCTGTCGTATATTTTACATGAAGTCAGTCTGCTGTTATCCAGA